CACGCCTGGGGCGGTGAGGAACAAGGGCTCCTGAAAGCCAGCCCGCCCGCCCACCCACCAGTCCTGCCCCCATCACCCTACCTGGCCATCAGCACTGGCTGTGGCAAATCTGTTCCCATCGGGGGAGAACCGCACACAGTTGACAAAGCGGCCATGGTCCTGTGGGAAAGGGCACAGTCACCCACTTGATGGAGTTCAGGGTGCACCCTGACACCCTGGCCACCACCACCAGCTACAGCAGTGAGCAGTCAGGAGAGCTTCGGAGGTCGGAGTCCTGTGCAATCCCTGGGGCTCGGTTTCTGCCCGCTCTGCTGTCCTCCAGGAAAGTGTCTTCCCTAGTCAGGGGCCTCCATCTGCCCTCTTCCCTCTGAGCCTGCAGAGAGCTCCAGACTGGAGCCTTAGGCTCTGCGCTAGGTCCACAGGTATGGCCACGGACCCCTTCCCAGAGCCCTGAGCCCCCAGCCTGAGAGGCGTGGGAGGCTGGGCCTGCAGAACCAGTAAGTGCTTTCCCCAGTAGGTGTGACCTGTCAAACTACCCCAAAGTCAAAACCGACTTTCCACATCACATCTCTTCCTCTGCAGCTGTCCTGCTTCTGCTTCTGCCTCTGCCAACGCACCGACCTGTCCCTTCACCTGGAGTGGCCATGCGAGCCTCCAGGCCAACTCACTACAGCACAGCAGGTCAGAGGCCGGATAACCTGAGAGAAGAAGCCGGTTCCAGTTTCCTGTTCCATGCTCCGCTTCCTCAGCTGTACTGGCGCTCGGGCCCAGCCCAGGTCATATCCTGAAAGCCACAGGCCACCTGCTACCCATTCTGGGCTGCACAGGAGCTCACTGCATGAGGCCTCCTGTCCTGGGCACCAGGGACGCCCACCCCCACTGTTCCCCTGAAGGCCTTGGAAGCCAGCTGGGTGCCAAGCTGGAAGGGGGGCCAGAGACCAAGCCCTGCAGACCAACGATGGAGTAGGGGCAGCACACACATCTTCCGGTGAGGTGGCAAAGTCCAGTGACGTGACGTGATGTAGCTATAACTAGACCAAGAGCGCCCCACTTCCTTGGCAAGCAAGGCACAGCTCTCACCTCGACCTGACACTTACATGCCTGTCACGGTCACATCTGGAACCCACTTGCTCGACGGCGAAGGGGACAAAGGGGACACGCTGGGGTTGGCTCACCCTGGGTCCCTCTGCCCAGGCAGGGGTCACAGTTCTCAAGAACCGGGAGGCCAAAAGCACTCATCCTGAACAGGGCAGGGCAGAGTGGCAGAGTGGGCTGCTGACTCTGATGTACCAAGTATGCCAGGAATCAGACAACACTCAGCTACTGTTTGGCTCTGACCAGAGACGATACCTAATTGTACTGGTCCCAGAGGACAGGCAGAGACACTCCTACTCCAACCCCGGGTCCAGAAGCAGGATCCCCCTGGGAAGAAACTGGATGCCCAGGACCTGTGACCCTAAGCAGGTGTCTGGCTCCACCTGTGGGGCTCTCCCACGGGGCCTGGCAGGGGTGAGGTCGTGTACCCCAGGGAACATGCAGGAGGGCAAGGGAAGGCCAGACCAAGCAGACGCCCTATAGCACCTGGGCTACAGGAGCCTGGGCTTCTGCCCCAGAGCCTGCTCCTGTCATCGTTTCCTTCAGCCCAGCTAAGTACCAGGAGTCCAGAAGGGCAGGAGTCTCATGTCTGCTCCCAAAATAAGCCCTACACTGGCAGCAAGACGCCAGCAGCCCATTAACCAAGGAGACAAAGGCTAAAAATAGTGCTTCCTGCAGGGACGCTGCTATGCACATGGGGCCTGTGGGGAAAGGTCGTGGCCAGTCCAGAGGATTCCAGCCTTGCATTGCTGCCTCCTGACCAAACCGGTCACCCCGAGCTCCCCCAGCTGGCCAGAGGGCTGTGGTGCAGGGCTGTAGTTCCCACCTCAGGCCATCCTGTGTGGGTGTCCGACCATGGGGCCTGACCGCTCCTGTGCCCCCAGGAACTCTCTCATTCCATTGTCCACAACGCCCTCTGGCAGCTCCACTGCTCTCAGCAAACAGAGGCATGAAGCAATGCGGTTTTCAGGATCCACCCACAGCCGCATCACCAATGCAAAGAGAGTGGCCTGGCTACAGGTGTCCTGACTCCAAGTGCATCTGATTACCTGGCCAGCTCAGGTGTCCACAATCACCAGCCTGGGGTGGGGGGCTACTGTACATAAACCACATCCTCACCATGCCCACCAGCTCCACCTCTCCTACCCAGCATGTGCCCCATGGCCATGGGTGCTCCTAAAACAGCTCATCCTGCAGTGGAAACACTGGCTCCCCATTCACTGCCAAGCAGCTCAAGGGGCTGAGAAGCGCAAAGGAGCCCTGCCACCCTACCCTGGTTGGCCACCACCACCCTTCCCTGGAACAGGCCAGAGCCCTGCTGTCTGCCTCAGGTGCAGGGACTGACAGGAGGCAGCAGGTGGGCACTTGCTGAAGCCAAGCAAAGGACACAGAGCCCCTGGCAGGAAGATGGGGCCTCCCCAGTGCACATCTGCTCCACTTGGGACACTGCACTCCATGGGACCTGCAGCCGGGTCCAGGGCGTGACCACACCTGGGCCAGCTGTCCATGAGGGAACGGGCTGTGCATTCAGTGTTCTTGGCAATGACTTTGTTGGACACAAACTGTCCTGTCCACCACCAATGCCTGGCAGCTGGGATGCACACAGGGCTCTGAAACCCTCGGGCAACTCACTGCTTCCCCACAGAGGACACGGGAGGCACAGAAGCTGGTCCTTGCCATGCCAGACAAAACACTGGTGGGACCGCGTCACATCCAGATGCATCTGTCAGAGGGATGGCTTGGCGTGGCCTCTCCACTCTCTCCCCTCTTAGGCCAATCAGGGTCTTGATAGGGACCTACACCTGTCACAGAGTGAGAGGGCCAGCGACGGACTGTCTAGCCTGATCCTCACTGGTCTCAGACCCAGGTTCTCCCATGATGCTGAAGTCACTCGCCGGGTCACCCATGACATCTACAACGTGAGCACACAGGGACAGGGTGTTGCCTGAGCCACTTCAGGTGGAAAGCTTCCCCTTCCCCCGTCTTCACGGTGCACAAGGCCGGTGTGGCCCAAGCCCCACAGGGCACAAACACACACTCCAGCTCAGAACGGGGGCTATATGAGTTCTGCGCATTGGGCAAAGCCTTGTGGCCAGAATGACCTCTAAGGGCCCCCCAACTTACCACTCTCACAACACCACGAGGGCACAGCCTCGGCAGGATCTTGCTTCAGCACACACTGGGCTGAAATCCCCAACTGTGTCCTCTTTATCAAGGCAGCAGCCTAAACACGACCCATGTTGTCCCCTGCTGCCCAGATCCCTCAGTGCCACTGCCCACCCCCATGCCCCACACCGGGCAGAGCCCTGGGCCTGGGCTGCACAGAGATGTAGGAACGGACAGAGGGACACAGGACAGAGCTGCTGGTGCACTGCTCACTCCCGGGTGAGGTTCGCCCAGAGAGGAGCAGGAGGCAAAGGCAGCCCTGGCTTCCAGTCATGGGGTTGGGAAGGGAAGATCTGGGGACAGAAGACTGCTTCTACTTGGATTCATAGTGAAAAGAACTTAATTTTCTCTCAAAACAATCAAACACAAAACCCACCCACATGTATTTTAATTTTTGCAAGAAGAATGTTCATGTCCCCAGCTTTGACAGCAGGAGGACCCGTACACCCTACAGGGGAAGCAGCCCGCAGTGCGTCCAGCACACACCCCACCCAGGCCGTCCGCCCTCTGTGCGTGTGCCCTTTCCCAGACCTTCTGTCCCACGGGTGACCGGGAGCAGGAGCGAGACAGGAGGACAGGCAGCCCTACCCCGCTGAGGGATGCGGCCCGGGTCCCAGTGGCCACACCTACCAGGCACGGGGGCTGCGGGTCCCCAGGGACCTCTCTGTCCCCTGTGCCAGGCCAGCTGCGCCAGTAAGACTCTTGACATTCAGCAGTCTTGGTCCTCCCCACAGCTGCAGGGTGGGCAGGGGAGGGTCAGCATCACCATGCATTCTGGGCACCCAGGGGTACATACCCACCTAGTGCGAGGGCGGCAGAGCTGGCCAGCCTGGTGCCAGGAGGCACCTGGAGTCTCTGGTCCCAAACCTACAGCCCTTCCCACCTTTCTAGGTCCTCAGACAGGATTCAGGGTGTGGGCTCCTGGCAGGATTTCAGGGCGGTGGTGCCCACCCTGGCAAACATTTCTATCTGACACTCCAGGTGGGTGCTGCAGGGAGGACTGGGTATGGAGGGCAGAGAAAGGAGAGAGGATGTCCTGCCACGTCCCTGAGTGAGCACACGGCAGGTAGGGCGTGCGGAACACAGGCTGAGGCTGTCTGGGCTTGGATCCTGCTCCCCCGTGCCTGCTAGAGCTGCTCTTTGCAGTGTTCAGCCCATGCCTGCAGTGAAATGATCCTTCCCAGGGCAGGGAAAGGGAGCCCCCACTCTCACACCCCCAGTACCGGACCAGGGGACCAAACAGGATTTGCGGGGAGTCTGGGCAGTAGGGACAGCATCCCTGGAGCAGCTGGGACAACAGCCGACTGCTCACAACCTCTTGCTCTTCCTTTCTCCCTTGGGTTCAGATCAGATTCAGATCCAGTGTCTGCTGGCTCAGCGGTGCTCCTCCTGTGGTCCACAGGACTTCTGCTCCCTTAAACACCGACCTTGGGCTGCACCTTAAATAAAGCTCCTGAAATAGCCAGGTCTTCACTCCCTACCAACTAGACAGCAGCTGTGGGAGACAGATCTGAAACTACAGGGTATCTACAAGAGGTCACCTGGAACTTGCTCAGCCTGAGGCCCCAGTGATGGAATGGAACTATTTGTTTCACCACCAAAGGGGAATCCCTGGAGATCGTCTGCTCCGGAAACCAAGCTCCACCCCAGTCCTGCCCACTGCACAATCAGTCCTTGCCCTTCCCAGCAGCATTACACCTGCTATCCATGATGGGCTGTCTTAAAGTCACTGAGGTGAGCCGCTCTAAGGACACTGCCTCGCCCGGTCCCCTGAGGCACAGTCACTGAGAACCACTGGTGCCCCAGAGGATGAGTCTCTGACCTCAGCCCGATCCCCAAACTCAACCACCTATGAGGGACACACAGAGCCCACCAAACTTGCCCCCTTCCAGGTAAACATGGCCACTGAACCTGTTCCTCTTCATCATGGGCACTAATGCCACCTGCCGTTTCCAGGACATGTGCCCAAGGTAACTGGGAAAGCCAGAGCAGGTACAGCACTGCGGTCAGTGCCCCTGCACACCAGCCCAGCCACCGGAGCACACTCGGGGCCAGGAGAAAGGGGCACTGCCTTTGCCCTTTAGGGGGCTGTTCAGTTCCAATCCCTACCCAGAACCCTCAGGTGCCAAAGGCGCCCACCCCTCCCCACTGTGCATGAAGAGCCCATGGGGAGGGAGCAGGTGAGAGCGGGGACCCTGAGATGAGAGCTCATGGTGCAGCCTACTCCTCCAGGGCAGGTAGGCACCTCTGGCCCCTCCTCTGCAGGCGAGGTGTCCCTGATCTCTGACTGTACACCAGCCCCTCTCTAGCCGGTGATCTGGGAGTCCTGAAAGCCATCTTCTCTGCCCCTTGGGTAGCTCATCAGGTCTGAGTCCATGCAGCAGAAGAGCAGGCTGCCAGAGCCCGGGATGAGCCTCTGGTTAAGCAGCACCACAGACTTTGCTGCCCTCCCCTCCCTGCTGCAGCCCCCGGGCCCCGTCTAGCACCTGGCACAGGTGGGGTGGGGACAGGTGTGCTCCCATCTCTGAGACATTTCCCCCACGCAAGCCACTTCTGCCTGCATGTCACAGTGCTCTGACCCTCCTGCACCCATATCTGGTGTCCCGTATAAACCTGAGTTCACCCAAAATCGCCCGAAGACAGCAGCCCACTTACACCAATAGTAAACTTGAACTTGAACGGAGGCCCCTCGAAGAACGCAGCGCAGTTATCGTCACTTCCCGTCACCAGGCGGTAGGGCCTGGACTGCTTGATGTCCACGCTGTTGATGACTTTGTTGTGTCCTGTGATCTCACCCACGGAAGAGCCGCTGTCCCACAGGAAGACAGCTCCAAACCTTTACCCAACAAGAGGGGTGGAGGAGAAAAAGTCAATCGGGAAGGGAGAGGAGAAATGTGACAGCTGAAGATGGCTGGACGCTGACCCAAGCGAACCTGCCAAGACGTGCATTCACTTATAAGCCCAAACGTTGAGAAGTTTGATTATTAAGCAGTAAAGAAAAAAAGATGACAAAGATTACTAAGTGCAAAATATAATACAGTAACTTAAGAATGCTTTGTCCCTGTATAAAGTGTTAGCGATCTCCCCACAGCACACACGTGCATTTGGAGTTGATTTTCCAGTACAGATGGTGAAATTATTGTAGCTCACAGTCTCGCAACTTATAGCTGAAAACGTGTTAAATAGCTGCTATGGCGGACTCAGCAGGGACCCCTTACATTAAGAACACTTCAGCTTTAGACCCATGCCTTAACCAAGTCTCCAAACCAAAAGAGTTACTTAGGGAACTGCTTACAAGACACAATATTATCTCCATAAACAGTTTGGGTAACGGCACTGTCGTAACTCTAGGATTTAGGCAACGTTGACAAAGGAATATAAGGAAATGACCAGTGAAATGTGACTGATGAATATTGTTTCTAAAGTATTAAAATATCAAAACAGCTACTGCAGCTGCACTTAAGTTGCTGGGGAATTTCTCATTTATGTAATTAATCTATGTATGAGGCCTATAGGGACATCACATGTGAACAGATAACTGATCATGAGCTAAAGCCAAAAAGCATTAAAGTGAAATGATTTAGGTCTTGGTTTTTTATTTTGTTTTTATGACTGGCTAATCTTAGGCTATGCTTCATTTTTCTGTATGTTGAATGGGAAGTAAAAACTCAGGTGACCAATAAAAAGAAAAAAAAGAAAAGATAGAAAGAAGAAAGAAGAAAGAAGAAAGAAGAAAGAAGAAAGAAGAAGAAGAAATAGAATTGTTGGAGCAGCAGGGATTAACTAAAAATCTAAACAGCCGCCAAAACATGTACTATGAGACTTCGGGAAAAAGGCACGTGGCTGTCAGGGTCAAGGGCCTGCCGGTGGCTGTGATGGGTTCTAACCCTGGAGGAAGGACAAACCCCAGGTCCAGCTCTAAGCCTGCTGGTGACCAACCAAGCACACAGTCTCCAGTGTGTGGCCTGCCCAGGACACACCCATCCCTTAGGGGATGTCCCTGCCGGGAGAAACCCCAGCCAGTCCCTCTAGCGGCCCCATGGTCACTGCTGGAAGGGTCACCTGTTCACCTGTCCCTTCCCTTCCCTGCTGCCTGGGATAGAGGCATGGCAGAGGGAGTCCCACAATGTGAAGGTCCAGGAGTGTCGGGGGGACAGAGAAGGAGCCTTAGGCCGCAAAAACAGCCTAAACAGGGATGCGGCTCCCTTTGTACGGCTGCCAACCCCTGCAGGGCCTAGAGCCTCTGACTACTCTCCCATCTGGGAAGGCAGCTGCAGGGCTGGGAACTCCACTGGCCCAGACCTTCCTGCCGCTGCCTCCCACCTCCCACCAGGGCCCGGCCAAAGGACAGTGGGCAGGGAGGGGCTGGGGAGAGCAACTCACTTCTCCCTGCCTTCCCCGACCACGGCGATCCTCTTACTGTCTTCGGTCCACGCAATGTCCTTGATCTTCCCGGCAAAAGGCTGATACTCGTACTTGAGGAGGTGTTCCTTTTGCGTGGTATCCCAGATCCTCAGCTTCCCGGAGACATCTGCAGGACACAAGTGCAGAGAACAACCACACGTCACCACCAAGCCAGGGCTTCGGGCACAGCCTCGTCCTTGCACACGAAACTCAGCCACTTTCCACTGTGCCACCTCGGCAGGCCACTACCTAGACCCCGCCTCTCACCTGGGCACCAGACCCTGCCCAGGTATGGAAAGGGACACAGGCTGCCTGAGCACCAACGCACAGCTAAGCAGCTTCACTTCGTGGCTCCTCGGGGGTCTGAATGGGGCGCAGACCTCAGGCCTCCGCTTTGCACTCAGATAGGACGCACCGCAGCCCTGGGCTTGCAGGCACCTCAGGGGCTGTGGGCAGGCCCCACACCCATCACCAGCACAGAAGGGCTGAGCAAGCCACTTCTGTGAGGCAGGAAGGCTGCATGCAGCACAGGGAGCCAGCAGCGAGTTGTAAAGAAAGGAACGTGGGGCCAGCCCCCGCAGGATCCCGTCACCAAGCAGCAGCTGACACACCCCTTTCCCAAAGCGGCACTGCTGGCTGTGGGAAGGGAAGGGAGCATTTGTGCCAGCTCTGCAGCTCAGGACTCTGCCTCAGCACGGGGGTAGGCTGTGGCCTTTGCTGGGGACCCAGCCCATGTCACCACGCACTGGATAAGGCACGCGGGCGGCTCCAGGGAAAACAGCTGTCGTGTTTGGATTGAGCAGAGCTGAGGAGGGGCCTGCATCTGGCATCTGTGGCCTCTTTGGGGCCTTACCTATGAGAACAGTGCCACTTCCTTGGGCGGCTGCGGGGACAAGATGAGGCCACACACGTGGTCTCAGACTGACCCTCAGTGCCCAGTGAAAACATGCTGTGAGTTAGCCCTGAGCTAACTACGGCTCTGCAGCAGGCACTAGGGACCCTTGCTGGGTGCAGACAGCCAGTCTACACTTGCAGGCTGAGACTCGGGGGGCACGTGAGGATCATGCCCTGTGCTACGCCCAACTGCAGGGACATATAAGCAAGACAGGACACCCAACCACACAGACAGGCCAGCTCAGCAGGGCGTGGGAGTCCCTGAAGGTCTCTGGTCATCTCTGGGTAAACTCTGACAGCGTGGCACATTGCTGAGCTGCAGACTCCGGCTTAGCTGAGTCCTTTCACTCAACAGGCCAGCAGGGAACAGGAAGCCAGCCAGGGCCAGCAGGGCCAGGGAGGGCAGGTGCATCTGCAGAAGCAGCTTCACACGGGCACACCTGACCACCTCTCGTACAGGACAGAGTCCCACTCTTCCCTGTCCCCGGGCTCATCTGTTCGGCAGCCAAGCAGCGTTTCTCCATCCCCGCCCCCGCAGATCAACAACCTCCTTTGCCAGGCCCTGGTTGTACATTTGATTCTTTCCAGAAGCAGCTGGAGCAGGAAGACATGGAGGGCCCCTGGCCTCACTGGTGCAGCCTGCAGCAGTTGTGGCTGGCAGAGGGCTGGCCGGGTGCCTGGCCCTGCGATGAGCACTGGGGCGGAACAGCAATGTGAACAGACCAGGTGCTGCCCTGCAGAGGGCCCAGGCGCAGGCTCCTCCAGGCCAAGGCTGGTCATACCGCTCATGCTGGGGGCTCCCTGGGGCAGTCCTCTGCAGAACGTTCCAGAAGATCCCATCCTGCAGGCACTGACAGCATCTGCAGATGCTACCAGGGGCTGGGGTCCTAGTGGGCTTCCTGAGGTTCTGGGCGGTACCCAACTGGGCGCCAGCACAGCCTTCTGACCAAGCCTCCCTCTAAACCCTGCTGGCCACACTGTTTTTAGCCCAGGGCCTGCATCTCCGCAGCAATGTTCACTGTAACTCCTAACAATCACGTTGCTGTATTCAAAGGAACGGATCAGAAATACAAAAATGCCATCTCCACTCAAGAGCTCTGCTGGTCCCCTACTAAGTCAAGGCTCTCTGAAGAGCATGTCACGCTGATGGACATTCGTACGGGACTGTCCCTGGGTCAGCCTCCATTACAGTGGAGGCCACTGGACTCTGTTCTGCTGGCTGAGCAGTCCCTGGGGATGGGGTGGCCAGGTCTGGGCTGGCAGGGCAGGAGCTGTGCCAACCTGGGCAGATGCCCTCACCAGGCACTTCTCTCATAAGAAAATTTCTCAGAGCACCAGGCTGTGTGTTAAACATAATTCAAGCAAGTACCTGGGCCAATTCTTAGGGCTTAATGAAGACACATTTCGTTGGCAAGAGGGGAGAACTAAAACAAGTCATGGGATTACAGTAACCTTAAAATGGCACCAGCAGTCTAAACACAGAATCCATTCAGCGCCTGCTGCGTATGGTACTCCCTGCCCAGTCCTTGACTAACCACAGGGGCTGACAGCAGACACCAGCAGTGTGCCTGTCCCCGTCCCTGGCTCTCTTAAGAGTGCTCCAGGTTCAGCGTGGATGCTGTGGTCACATTGGTGCTAAGTGCCCATCTGTGTAGGACCATGCTAGGCACCATCCACACATTGCCCCAGATCGTTCCCCAACCTGAGAGCCCCAGTTTACAGAAGAGAGTATTAAGGCCCAGGAAAGCCAGTCACACAACCTTAGCTTCGCAGATCCTGGGTCCCTCCCAACCCTGCAGCCCACTGTCTGCCACACATAGCAACCAGGAGAACTAGCAATTCTCCCAGCACTCGGTGCAGAGCTCAGCTGGCCGGCCATTAATACCTGCAGGGTGCATGAGTGAACGAACGAACGAGCAAATGAACGAATGAGTGAGATGCAGGGCCTGCCACTCCACCTCTTGCCTCCATCCCGTCTACAAACGGCCAGCCTCAAAGCACTAAGCCAATAAAGCTTATGCACATGGAAAAGCCTCAGCCCCTCCTCTGCCAGAACTCCTACTGAGCCAAACAGAAGAAGGCCCAGGCTGGAGGGCAGAGGCCAGTCCTCAAACAACGCTGGCACCTGCTGCGAGGCCGGCTGGGAAAGGAGCAGTGGGTAAGGGCGACACAAACGCAATTCTGGCTCACCACACACACACACACACGCTATGTGCATGCCTGATGCAGCTACCCGTGGCAGCCTCTGTCTAACCCAGAGCAGTGGTTCTGCTGACTCTTGAGCTGGAGCCTCGGGGACACTGCACTGTGACACACGCTTTCTACAACCAACACCAGGTCTGCAAAGGGATGGATTTTGGTGGCTTGTGTGGGAAGCCAGCCATGGCCCACTGGCTTTTTGAAAGACAACATTTGTTCCTTTTTAAGGACTGCACGTGTTAAACTTGTTTTGACCCTGCACGGGAGAAACTCGGACAGCCCCGAGGGCCGGGCGAGGGGCGTGGGAGGCGGGCGGGGCGCGCTGGGACCACTGTGCAGAGTGCGAGCTTCCCGGGCCGCGTGGACCAGGTGTTGAGGCCCGTGTGAACCCTCGTTCCCGTGGAGCGGGTGTTGAGGTTACTATGGTGATCCTAGCCCATAATAGTTCGGCCTTTCCCTTTAAAAGGCCGGTGCTTGCCGGCAATAAACGTCGCCTTGATCAGACTCTTGTCTTGGCGTCCTTCCTTTCTCTCTGCCCCATCTCCACCCCGCTGCTCTTTCAGGTTTGAGGCACTGCGGGACAGTGCTCTGCGTTGCCGGTTCGCGACAGGCTTGCATTTCCTTTGCCAGCTGCAAGCGAAATGAATCACAGCAGTGCCCTTATGTCTCCCCGATGCCCTCCTTCCCAAGCCAGGAGCCAGGCCTGGCTTCCATTCCAGGTGCCACCTGGGGCACACCCCATGCCCAGGAGTCTGCTCACACGTTACCTCCAGAGGCGACGTAGAAGCCGCTGGGCGCATACTTGGCCACCACCACCTGGTGCGCGTGCTCTGTGTAGATGTCGGCGACTGCGGGGTTCTGCAGGGAGAAGAGCGAAGGGTGAGTGGGAAGAGCGAGGGGCAGCCAGCCTGGGACAAAGGCCACATGCCAAGTCCTGAGCTGAGCTGTCAGACAGGGCACTCCCAACCCGCCACTGCCACCTCCGACCTTCGGCGATAAAGCTTCAGGGACATTGCCCTGGTTTCTTTCTTGTATTTTCCACGACATGGGACACATGTATTTGTGGAACATACCCAAGATGAGAGAAAGGAAGGGCGTGAGCCTGTGACCCTCCTCCCTGTGGGCACTGCCTGTGTACCTCCCACTCACCAGCACTCACCAGCACCCACCCCTCCCAAGGCCGCCTCCCCCAGCGGCCAGCCCCTGACTGAGGATGGGGAGCAGAGCAGGCTGGGGAGGGGGGACCTGGGAAGAAGTGTGCTGTGACACAGATCAAAGGCTGGCTGGACCTCGAGGCAGGACCAGACCGGCGCCTCCGCAATGAGGTCTGAACATGTAGTTACTAAAAGTGGATCCCTGTCCTCCCTGCACACACGCTCCCCCTACGCCAAGCCCCTCCTTGCAGGATGGGATGAAGACTCCACTGCTGCGGTCAGTGCGGGGTAACCCATGCAGATGGGACAGCTTCCCAGGCTCGAGGCTGAGATGCGAGGCGGTGCGGAGGAAGCCCACACCCCATGGGACCCCAACTGCTGCCCTGCAGCCTCCCACAGCCCCTCTCTGAACTCAGCTCCCCAAGCAGGCCATGTGCGAGTCTCCCTGCTGCCACCCGCTGCATCCAGTGGCCCAAATGAAGTGGTGTTTCCTCCATAAAGCCTCCTGGCGGCCCCACCCTGGCTCCCAAACACCAGACCACTAACCAGGTGAAATGCGTCAACGGTCCTAAAAAAATCTCACGGGACACGTGCTGCCGCGGGCAGAGCCCTCTGCAACAATGTCATCAGTTGTAGGAGTTATTTGTTTCCTAAAGCCTCAGTATTCACGTTTAACTGCAATGCAGGTGCTTGGTGATAAATGAGATTTAGGGTTGCAGCTCAGGCACTCGGTTCTAAGAGGTTCATCATCACTGGGAGCAAGATGAACTAGAGGACATGTGCAGAACACAGACCCTAAATTGACTGCAGGGCTCCCGGGCATACACACAGAACAATCAGAAACGATATTCTCAAGCCTTCGTTTGAATCTGTCACAGAACCAATCAGCCATGCTATTTTCAATCCCTCATTTGCACGGGGGCACAACCAACTAAAGACGCTTCTGAGCCTTCATTTACACATGGCAGGAAACACACTGGGTTTGCCTATAGAATGATTTATACCTGGTGTGACACCAAGTGAGTCTTTGATAGGACAAGCACCCCAATGCCTTAGAGAGGTGGAGGAGGACCTGGGAAGGCTCCTGTAAAGTGCTGGTAGAAATGAAAAAGAAAACAAAAAAAAGACAGCAGAAAATGGGAAGGCTCCTGTAAAGTGCTGGTAGAAATGAAAAAGAAAACAAAAAAAAGACAGCAGAAAATAGTCGAGCAGTTACTTCAAAGTTAAAACACACATCAACTAAACAACACAGTGCCACTCCTGTGTGTCTCCCCAGCGGAAATGAAAGCACGTGTACAAAAAGCCTGGAACCATGCCGAGGGGCTTCTTCCAACACAAGAGGGCCCAGTAGTACAAAGAGCACGCTATAAATAAACCCACTGGCTGTGGAAAGGTGGCCAGAGACAACATACTGTGTGACCCCTTCTAAGGAAGAAATTCTGGAGCAGGTGGCCCCGTGACAAAGTAGCTCTGCTTTTGCTGATGGGGTGAACAGAATGAACGCTGCAGGCGAAGAGGGGCATCTGGCTGGTATCAGGGGGATGTTCTGTGTCAGGATCACGGCTGTGGTTATGTAACCAGACATTCTCCGAAATTGAATCTGCACACACTTGTACCTACACCTCGCCACCCGGAAGCTTCAATGCCTGGTCTACTGCATATCTGCTGGCCCAATCAAACCCTCCCTGCTCTGAGGAGCACCTCCACATGCACAGGTCTCCTAGAGGACCCTGGACACACATCCACTGTAGGTGAGAGCCATGCGCCAGTGAAACTCTCTCTAAAGCAGCCTGACCTCCTGCCAGGCGGCCTTCCTGGGACAAGGGCATCCCAGGGAAGGGAGCTGGGTGGGCAGCCCCCCCACCCATTCCTTCCCCTAGATGGCCAGGACATCTGCAGACAGGGCACCGATCTGGTGGGATGACTCACTCTCGTTTGTATTCCAGATACAACTGGGTCAGCATGGGGTGAGACTCCAAATTACAGCCGATGACTTACATCTGAGTCAGCAGGCCTCTTGCCCTCCCCTCCGCTCACACAGGCTGCTGCCTGGAGGATGCCACCCTTCCCCCAGTCCCCAGGTGTACCCCTTCCTGTGCCTAAGCCAGGGGAGGGAGAAGGCTGGGGCGAGGAGCTTCTTTGGGGGAGCACACTAGAAGGGGAGCATCCCCATTCCAGAAGCAGCAGTGCAGGAGGCTGTGGGGGTGCCCTGCCCAGAGGTGCCCTCCCCCCAGACTTCCATGCCTCTCACTGGCTCTGGAGCCCCCATCCTGCCGCACTTCCAGTCCCGTTCTTCCGGCCCTCCCTTTAGCCCATCTTTCTTCCACTGCTTCTCACCCCCACCATCACTTTCTTCCCCGGGAGTCTCGTCCAACAGGAAACCCAAGCGAACTTCCCCTTCCTCTCACAGCCTGAGTCGTGCTGCTTGGAGGGGACTGAGCAAGACAAGACCCCAGAGGAGCTCTGAGGCTTCCTAAACCACAGGGTGCCCGGCAGCCTTCCAGCCTCTACCGACGCTGAGAGGCCTCTGGAAGAATCCCTGGGGGAGGTCCAGGTTCTCCAGTGTCTACCTGGGCAAGGCAAGTACCCTTCCAGGCAGGACACCGGGGTTCTGAACACACCTAGGCCTGAAGCCAGAAATAGCTCCTGCTTGTGTGGGGCCTGGGTGCTGAACACAGTGTGCAGGGCCCTCAGTGATAGGGCAGGACCCAGAAGGCTGCAGAAACCCAGGCCCTGAGCAGCCACACAAACCTCTACTTCCAGGGCAGAGCCACCCAGAACCACACCCAGAAGCTGGCTCTGGTCTTGTCACTTCCCGACTGCCCTCCTCCTTCCCAGTAGAAGCTCTATGATGGCTGCCTGAGTTCCCATCTGGACTCCTTCCCAAAGCCAGTGGCCCTTTCCTAGTTCCCACGCGAAAGCCACCTCTCCAGGAAGCCCTCCCCGATGCCTTCCATCACTTCTGTACCTCACCCACCGCTGCACTAGGCAGATTTGCCACCCTGCAGCCCCTGAAGACCGGACACGGCTCCCCCATGGTCCCCTCTACTCACTGAAGGATCCCAGTGGACCCTGACACTTCAGTCACAACAGCCCTGCAAGTAACCTCACAAGCCCATTTTACAGAAGAATCCAAAGCTTGGAGAGAGGCAGGAGTGAAAGTGTCCTGGTTCACCCAGCAGACAAACTGGGGCTTGGGTTAGGGATCAGCCTCTGTTCTCCCAGTCCCCTCACACTCTGATAGGACATTAGCCTGATTCCTTAGCTCAGGCAACCAGAACTGCAGAGCCTGATCATTCAGCTGGGGGTGGGGGCAAGGATGGTCACGCAGACCTGCTGAGGACCACCCCAGTGTGACCGGAAGCACATTTCATTCCTGTGTGCTTCCTTCCTGCTGCCGGGTTCAAACCCCAGCACCTCCCTGAGGCTCAGGGTCCCCACCTGGAAAGAGACAACAGCATCCGCCCAGGTTGCCCATGGTGCCAGTTGCCCCACTGAGTTACCTGGGTTACATCTCATGCTGACCCCACCAACATGCCCTGCCCTCCCAGGTGTGGGGCAAATGTAACGGAGGATGGCCCGGTACCAGGCCACTGCCAGCACCTGACACACCCAGCCCAAGGGCATATGGCTGGGCAGCAGGGAAGGCCAAGAGCCTCCAGGAGGGGGTGCTAAGCCAGCCACCAAAGTCTGAGTCTCCACAGCTGAGTGGAATAGCAGCTGCTCTCCAGATGTTCTCTGCTGTCTGGCAAGGGTGGAGTCTGTGTAGCACCCAGGTTCCACATCCAGCTAGCAGGGCCACAGGAGCCCACACTGGGGCCTTGAACCCCAGGGCCCATGCTGCCTCCTGTCTGGACTCCTCACATCTGCTGTGTACTCCAATCCTCATTCTGGAAAACTCTTATTCATCCTCCAAGGCCCCACTCCAATGTGCTGCTGCTCTAGCCGCTGCCGTCACTACTCTGGGCACATGAGTCTTCCCTTGTGTCCCCACCCCAGACATTCTCCTAAATACTTAATCCCGTGTGAGAATGCATTCACTTCAGGATCCTCAGGCCCAGGACCACAGGCAGCTGGGGCTTGGTTAACTGTGTTGTGGGATGGCACAGTTGCGTTTCCAGAAGTCAGGCTATCTGCCGCCTCAGGGCCTGAGACTTCTCCAGCCCTGCAGCCACCGATCCTCCTAACCCATCACCACTCTGCTTCCCAGACTGCATGACATGGGGCTCCTGGCTCTGGCCTTGAGCATCCTGCCGTGTGCTCAATTCTGTCCAGATGGTCACCAAACATGCCACTTCCTCCTGCTGAGAGCTCCTGCCACTCCTTTGCATGACCGAGCTCCGCAGCAGGAAGGGCCTCAGCAGGGATGTCACTATGGGTCAGTCCTCAGACCCCCTACCGAACAACTGCGGGGACAAAGATGGGTCCTTCTGCGAGTGACCAGTAGCAGATGGCACCTGTGAAGGCGTTCTGTGTGGGTTCCGATCTGCACCCTGCTCAAGGAGACAGGTCCAGCGATACTGCACCTGGATAGATCAGCCTGCTCTTCAGGTCCGATTCAGTACCGCAGACACGCTGTAGCTTTCCCAGCGCACTGTCTTAGCTTGGAACCTAGGAGCTGGGTACCTTAGAAAGCTAGCCTCCCACACGCCCACACGGTGAGGCCTGTTGAAAAGCTCATTTGTGTGAGCTGGTGTGTAGGGGACGTGGTCACAGGCAGTTTGGAATCACGAACAGGTTCCTTCTCAGCCCCAGAGAGCTCCCTCCCCAGCATCTGCAGAGGTCACAGAAGGCTGGTGACTCAGGTGATGCTGACCCACAGGACAAGGCAAGCCCGAGGAAGCACTGCAGGTACCGGGGTCTACAGGCCGCCCTCCGTCAGCCCCTGCAGCACGAACTACCCTTATTTGGCTGGAGCCCCCTCTACAGTGTGAGCAAGGTGCACACACTGCTGGCCTCGACCTGTTTCAGAGCACTCTCCTGGATTCTTAGTTCCTAAATGGCCACCTTCACAGGCTTTAACCCTGCAAGAATCCTCTCCCAGTGGAGCAATGGGATGGATTCAGATAAGAAACTCGGACCAGGCACAGTGGCGCATGCCTGTAATCCGAGATGCTCTGCAGTCTGAGCAGGAGGATCGCAAGCTGAGGTTCACCTCTGGACAACTGTCTCAAAACATGAAAAGGGTGGGGATGTTGCACCAGAGTTCAATCCCCAGGACAGAAGAGGAAAAGACCCTTCTCTGAAAGCTTAAAAGTGATAGTAGAGTCAACATAATACAGGTTAAGGAAATCAGGGACAGGAAGTAGCTCCCATGGAAGGTGCTAAGAACATTCTTCAGAAAGGTTTCCCAGCTTATGTCCAACCATCTAAACTAGACCAGCTTTGCCTCTCCTGCAGCAGTCACCACCCGCCAGGTCTGTGTGCTCATGTGAGGACGTGCCCCAGATGGCGGAGGGCAAGTGGGGCTTTCTGGAGCTGACAGCAGCCAGGAGCCTACGTGCAAGAGCCCTGCCTGCTAGCTTGCTTCACACTGATTATTAGAGCCAAGCAACAGAGAAGGCCAGGGGTGGGGCTGGTACTTAAGAGGAAGCCCCAATAAGTCCCCTGCAGAAAGCAAATGCAGGCGAAGGCACCAGCAGGTCCTGAGAAGGACACATGGCGTGTTCGAGGGTGATACATATGGGCCCGGGGAGGCCTCCTCAGCCACGGAGAGGACTCTGGCTTTCACAGAGACAGGAGGCTGTGGAGGGTGGGAGCCAAGGGCCCCCGGGTCTCACAGGTCCACACAGAACCGCTCCAGCTCTATTCTGAACAGAACAGACCACCGGGCAGAAGCAGGAAGAGTCTGGCTGTTTCCTTGGCTGGAGAGGATGGTAGCCTGGGTGGGGGCGGGAGCAAAGCAGTGCAAATCTGTCACAATCCTGCAGATGATTTGAATCAAATGCAGTGGGACTTGCTGAATCAACCTAAGGTGCTGCAGCAGGGAAGGGGGGACGGGGCCCAGTCCCAGGTCTTGGGCCTCGACAGCCAGAGGGAGGCGTTGCCTTTTGGGGGGAAGGGAACAGAACCCCAAATCTAGCTTGGGCATGCCATGTAGACTTTCCATGATTGGCTGCCAGACTCTCTCCCTCTTTCTTCTGTATTCCAATCAGACCGTGTTGGTTTCTATATCCTGAATGTTCAAGGGAATTCACACCCAACTTTTCCCAGAAATACTTCACTTTAATTAAAATCATACCCACTCTTGAGGACCTACACCCCACCCATCAATCTAACTCGTGCCTGATGTCGTTGGCACAGGGAGGGATGTGTCCGTGGCACCTTGTGCTGACATCACAGGAACTTAAAACTGGTTGGGAAGGAAAGAAGACGCACCCGCAGGGGAGAATGATGATGCCCGGGAGGGATAAGCATGCAGACCTCAGCGCGGCTGGCAGAATGGACGCTAAGTCAGGATCACTTCCTGCAAAGTGCTCATCCCTGGCTGTGAATCCTCACCTAGCAGAGCAGAGCTCCTCTGGGAAGAGACCGAGGTGGGGATGAGACAAGCTGGCAGAGCACCAGGACTCTGAACAGCTCTCCTAGCCTGAAGTGAATGCAGACTGAATGACACAGGGAGGCCTTGCTGCACGCCAGGCCAGGTATTCTACTGCTCTTTACGTGTTACAGTGTTTTAGGGCACCACCGACATGAAACTACTAAGCGAAGACTTACTCAGGGCAACCTGCATTTTTACCTTCTCATAAAACTCAGGGCCTCTCTCCAGAGACTTCTAGATCATTACTATCCAAGCCTTCAGTGATGTTCCCCAGCTCTAAAGGAAGTTGGGTCAGCTTTCTAGGAATCCGCGACTAGCAGGTCCTTAGCAACTTCAAGGCAGGTTCACACCCACCCACTCCCTCCTTTGAGGAGCCCAACAATCCCCGGTAGGACAGAAAGCACCAGGCAGAGCTTCATCTTCCAGCAGAGGAAACGCAGGCCCTGGCTGGCAGACTCAGAGGGACACAGCCAGCACCACTTCAGATGGGGAAATGGCTTCTCCTGTCAGACATGGAAACCGAGCCCCTGCATTCCCTCAGTCAGCTGTGAGGCTCATGGAGCCACAACCCCAGACCACAAGGGTCCTGATGGCAGATGTGTTGAAGCTGACACCCACTGTGAGCAAGCGCATGTGCACCGGTCCCACGGCCAGCACAAAAGAAAGCCCCCTGAAGTGGCCACGCTGGCAGCTCCCAGCTCCACCCCCACACCATCTCTCAGGCAAGGAGAAGGAAGCAGGACTCAAGCGGGCAATTCTTGAAGTGGAGGACAGTGACAAGCAGACTGGGTCATTCAGACAACTGCAGAGGAGTAACGTGAACCGGACATGATTTCCCAAGGAGCTGGCTCTAGAAACATTTTCAGTCTGGGTACAGAGTGCCTGCAGAGAATGATTAACGGGAGTAAGCTGGTTCCTGTTTCGCCCTGAGGCTCAGATCCACAGTGGCAGATGAGGCTGCAGCCCGGAGGACTGGATGTGTTCCTCCAGGCTGTGCACACTGGGAAACTGAGGGTACTGACATGAGTAAGCAGAAGGCCATTTTCCAGCGGCTCGGTGTGCACCAGGCACACATTCAGTAGGCCAGGGCGGCTGAAGGAAGTGGGGTATCACCATCTCATCATCTCTATTTTGCAGAGAAACCCAGGCTCGGAGAGCACAGGTCACCACCCAGCAGCAGCTCCCCATTTGTGTTCGGTCCCTCAAATCTAAAGCCCATGCTCTCGGAACTGAACTAATCTGAGTCTCAGTATCCCCACCTCAAAAAACATAAAAGGTCCTGGAGAAACCTGATCAGATTTCTAGGTTCCTGAGGCGGGGCCCCAGAGCTGAGGGGGCGTGGCGCCCTGGCCCTCCCCAAGCCCTGGGCAGGGACCTCAGGGGGCGGAAGGGGAAGGAGAAATACCTACTTTACTCCTGCGAGCTGGCAGGGACGGAAGCACGCTAGGTGGGGCAGGGGGTACTCACGTCGATGTTCCTCAGGATAACGCACTTGCCATTCGTGTACACGAAATTGTTGCCCTTGGGGTCACCGCCGATGATTTTGGAGACGCCCCTCTCCACCTGGGGGAGGCTGGCGAACACCTTCTCTGCGGAGACACAAACGCACAGGGCTCGTGAGGGGAGGCAGGAAGAGCAGGGAAGGAGGGGACGGAGGATGCAGGGGACGGGAGAGGAGAGAGGGGCACGGGCCAGGCCCAGCCGGTCACCTG